AGCATGGGGAGTGAGCACGCGGGGAAAGGAAGGGACTGTCTTCATTAGCCAGAGAAAGCTTCACATCTGTCTTACACACGAGATGGCAAACAGGGAGGATGGGACTCAGGCTGACTCCTCATGCTGGCTCCCACAGGCTGGCTTCATGGGATTGTTTGCGTCGGTTGGCACGTCCGGGGTGTTGCATACATCCAACAAAGAGACACTGAAATGACAGCACCTGGGAGATGTTTTGTGATTTTCCCCCTTGGCTGGTTCACTGTATCTTTCATGTGCTATCTGTATAGTGTTATAGAGTCGGGAATAAAGTACCTTACAAAATTCCATGAGGATAAAAAAACAAGTATGGTCTGTAAGTGTCTTGAAAATGAAAGGAAATGCAAAGTGTGTTCATTAAGTTGGGGAAAAGAATGTATAGCAACAGTAAAATTTATACAGAGAAATTCATGTGGGAAAAAACAATGTCTCCAGACCTGCATAGGCCAATGGAGGATGTCTGGCCCATACACATGTATTATTCACATGCTTGGCCATGTCAAATAGGACTGTCTGAGGGGCAAAAGGGAGGTGAGGGCAGTGGGGGGGCACTATACCAGGCACTTGTACAAGGAGTTAGAATAAGATGGCTTAGTGCCAAGTCCAATGCAGACCGAAGACTAATTCATCGCAAACAACTGTGGGACCCAGCCCAGACTCAGCAGGGACACACAGGGGAGTGGGAGCTGTGTTTTAAGTACAGAGCAGAGAAGGAGGGGTTGTGTGCGGCTGGGATAGTGAGGTGGGGGCATAGGGAAGGAGAAGGGGCTGATATTCAGAAGGCACCAGGAGAGAAAGTAACACTAGGCTGAAGTCTTCTCAGGCTCTTTAACGGATACAAATGACGGAAGACGCAGGAAAGCCCCAGAGTGCCTTAGTCAGTGAACTAGAATTCAACAGCAATGAAGTGAAACACACTGACTGAGCCTTCATCGTCTGGGGCTGTACCTGTGTGGATGAGGCTGAGTTAAGCTGGCCCCTGTTTTTCAGGTGTAGACTTGTGGTGACAGTACAGCTTGATGAAAGCGAACAGAGCTTGGGGAAGGAGAGCTAAGGTGAGGGAGCCACAGAGGGAGGAGCTACAGAGGGAGAAGTTACAGTGGGAGGAGCTACAGAGGGAGGAGCTACAGAGGGAGGAGCTACAGAGGGAGGAGCTACAGAGGGAGGAGCTACACTCAAGGGCTGGTGGCCCAGATTGCACAGGATGCTGCCCGTCAGGGAACTTGGGAAAAGGTGTTCCATAGTGCATGCAGTTCTGAGAACACTGTAAAACTGATAAGCACTGTCCAATCTGCCGTCTGCCTTGGCACAGTCACCGAGATGCAGATTTTCATAAGGAGTCTTACAGGAAGACCATCAGACCTGAGGCTTAGCCCTCAGACACTATAGAAAATGCATAGGCCAAGCGGGAACTCTTCCTCCGCAGCAACGGCTCTTCTTGGCTGACAAGTAGCTGGAAGACGAGCTGACTTTGACTGTGGTGTTCCAGAAGAGCCTGCCCTTCTTCCTCTGGAGTTGAGACTGTGGTGGCACAGAGAAAGGAAGTCTGGCGCCACTTCCAAGAATAAGCAAGGTTAAGGTGACTGTCCTGAACTACTTCAAGGTGGATAAACATGGCAAAGTCCGTCTCTTTAGTCAATAATGTCTTTCTGATGTATGTGGTGCTGGAGATTTCATGGCCAGCCACACTGACAGGTGGCACTGCCGCTCGTCTTGTGTTCATCAACACAGAAGGCAAGTTAATAAGACAACCAAATAGGAAGAAATGAAACTGATAAGCAAGAGTATTTTTTGCATTAATTTGAAAAAAAAAAGATAGTCTTGGGTGATCACCTAGCGTCTTAAGAGAGCCGAGCTAAGTTGCTTCTCATTGGTTTTCTCATTGCACTGAATGTTCAGGGGAAAACTTCAGAACCTTGACTTTGAAGGTTACTTGTATGGGAATCTCTTGGTATTATAATAATATTAAAAATGTTGGTGTTTGACTTTTTAGGTTGAAACATTTGCTTTTCAAACTTCCCTTGTGGGACAAAAGTTCTTAACATTTGCTAGAATTTAGTGAAAGGAAGAAAACATACATCACAGACATGTTTAGGGAGGGGGGATGGTAGTGTATGAAGGAATCACGAAATTAGTCAGTCACCTGTGACTGCAGGCCATTCTCTGACCCAAATGAGTCCTTAAGAGCCAGGGCAGCCACAAAATCCAGGGCAGGGAAGCAAAGGCTGCTTTTGAGCCTCACTAACTACTTTCGTTTTCATACACAAAGAGCTTTATCTGGCTCTCTTTTCTATCTTGTTCTTTTATGTCCTTGCCCTGCTCATCAAACTTTTCTGATCTGGTAGATTCTATGGAGTTTCATCTAGGACTGTTGGATTCTGCTAAACTCTAAAGTACTGTTTTGTGTTTCAGACAATGCAGAAGGCTCTTCCCAATCTTTCATCACCAGGATAAGACATGAAGAGTGCTGGAGACTCCATTCTTCGATTTCATTCAGGTCCTCTTAGTTAGTGTTAGGAAACTGATAGAAAGCCTCAGGTATGGTTAGTACTATTTAAAAAAAAAATCAAAGTGACCCACTCCTCATCATCCAACCCGACTGACAGCTTTGTACTTAATGTGGATTTCCTTTAACTTATGACATGTTTTACTGTTAGAGCCATGCTCTTGTGAGACCCAGCATTTGTCATAAATCATTCAAAGGAATGAATTGGAAGCCTCTTGCTGGGTGAGGGAGATCCTTTAGTTTTATTGCTTGTCTTTGTTACATTGCTTCAACGCCAAGGGTACCATTTAAAGACAAGGTGAAGACCGCTCTTGCCATGCCTCTGGTTTTCACTGTTGAGGGGGAGTGTTTGGGATCATAGCTATGGGGTCGAGGACCTAAACTTGTGTATCTATTGGTGGTTTGCCCAATTCCATACTTTAACTTCATGCTCCGAAGTGTTTCAATTACAGCTAATGCCAAGACAAATTCCTCTGTCTGTGTCTGCCCTGGCATCTGTGAACAGGGTCAGCCTGTTTCCCTTAGCTTCTCCAGGTTAGGATAGACCCTGGCTGTGCTGGGAATAAGAGGCTTGGTGGCTGCTGTGGCGTGGGGGCAGGTGACTATGCCCATATCCTTTTCAGCTCTTCTCTTGAATTCTCAAGTATGCACACATGTACATAAGAGATGCATGCACGCCGGGCGGTGGTGGCACACGCCTTTAATCCCAGCACTCGGGAGGCAGAGGCAGGCGGATCTCTGTGAGTTCGAGGCCAGCCTGGTCTAGGAGAGCTAGTTCCAGGACAGGAACCAAAAAGCTACAGAGAAACCCTGTCTCGGAAAGAAAGAAAAAAAGAGATGCATGCACATCTGCCTGCAAAGGAGATCTCTCTATTTGGGATGCTAGCTGTAACTGACATGTGTTTTCTGGGTCAGCATAGCTGCGCGACAGCTGTTCCCTCAGCAGTAGTGAGGGTCCAGGGGAGACAAACGTGGTGGGAAAGCTCCAGAAGTGTTTCTGGGTGCTTGGGAGAGACTGGAAATATTGCTGGTAGCTATTGTGGGCAGAGTTTGTTTATGATGGAAATCTCATCATTTCAGTTCAGCTTTCAGGCCACTATCAGACTTTTTTTTTTTTTTTTTGGTTTTTCGAGACAGGGTTTCTCTGTGGCTTTGGAGCCTGTCCTGGAACTAGCTCTTGTAGACCAGGCTGGTCTCGAACTCACAGAGATCCACCTGCCTCTGCCTCCCAAGTGCTGGGATTAAAGGTGTGTGCCACCATCACAGACTTATTTCCTTAGGGGAAATAACTAAGTACATAATTCCTTCTTGTGCAACACCCACCTCTTAGAGTTCCCAGTTTGGCATCTTTATTGCCAACAGCAGTAGAGGAGACACCACCTCAGTACTGTGACTAGATTGTAGTTTGCTGTATACCAGACACAATTCTAGCCCTCTAACCCTTACACATATTCTTTGAAGTAGATACTTGTATCACCATCCCATTTTATTTTTGCAAATGAGAAAATTTGAGCAGGAAGTTGGTGTGTGACATCTTCAAGAGCACACACAGATAAAACTTATGCTTTCTGCTTGTTTATACACCCTACCCACAACTGTCTCCAGCCTGTTCTGTGTTCCCTGGCCCCTCAGCATACCTTCCTTCCCTTTGTACTTATTGTTCCTACTTCCTAGAGTGCTGTTAATTCCTTTTCCTTGTCAGTTCTTACTCTTCCTGTTCTGTTACAGGGCCTTCTCTGTTTTGTTGGGGAAGGGTGCTGTTTATGTAAGCCCATGTCCCATATAAAATCATAAACTCTTTGCTTAGAAAGCATAGTTCTGCTTCTTAGCTAGCATTTAGTTGAGTCTTGCTTTAGATTATCAAAAATGCTTATTGAAGGGACTAGTCAACCAAAATATCCATGAAGATCAAGGTCCACATCTTTCTTCTGTAGTACTGCTACATGCTCAACTTCCAGCATAAACACACAGGAAAAAAACTCTGTGTTTGAATGAAAAAGTAAATGACCATCAGAGTTCTGGGGAAATTACTGAGGAGAACTCCCTGTCTTTCATTTCTTAATTTGTAGACCGCTGTTGCAGCAGAGTTTCAGCTTGGGATTGCTGTGCATTTAATAATTTCTTTTTCATTTACAGTTAAGGCATAAGTAGTCTGTGTTCCTTTGTAGCTCTATTTAAAAATGAAAGTATATTGGGTCTAGGTTAAGAAGGACACATTGTAACTGACTTTTGGTCACAGTGTCTGTTACAATTTAATATGTTCCTGATAGTATATTAGGGAGCTACTCATGCTATTGCTTATATTCGCTAAGAGCGGGAAGTAAATCTGTGTGATTTTTACAAGTATTGGTACATTAGGTTTAAGTCGTTTATAATGCAAAATTTGCTTTACATTGAGATTAAAGGAGAGAAAGGAGGAGAGGGGAAGTGAACTGAAACCTTGGTGTGGGACCCTTACCTGCTGGCCTGGCTTGATGGGGGACAGGGTGATACCCTGAGTGTTGATCACAGGCAAGATCTGGTTTCCGATGACTGTGGCAATGATCTGGCCCTGGGCATTGGTTAGGAGCTGGGGTGTGATAGGTTGTACTTGAAGGCCCTGAGTGCCACTTGTTGCTTGACTCGATGGCCCTGGGTTAGGCATCAGTGGAATGGTCCCAATAATCTGCAAGAGATAGGCCTGAAGGTGAGGAGCCAGCTGAATGCCAGGTCTGCTTGAGCAGATGAAGACCATACTATGACCTTGTCATGAGGAATGTTATCAGGGGCTCATGCAGGATCTACAAGCAGGCCAGGATTTGGTGGCATGGAGTAAATATTAGCGCAGGAGCATTTAAAAAAGGAAAAGTTACACATGCACTGGCTTCACCAAGGGAAGGGACAATTATCTAAAAATAAAATCTAGTATTGATAAAGGTTTAAACATGCAGTGTCTGCCCAAAGAACAGGTGGAAGAGATTTCTTAGTACTTAAGGCCATTGTGGACCCAGGCATTACATCCTTCCTCTACACACTGCATCCTTTTCTCACTGAAGCTCTGCACACTGCATCCTCCCCTCCCTGGAGCTCTGCACACTGCATCCTCCCCTCCCTGGAACTCTATATACTACATCCTCCCCTCCCTGGAGCTCTGCACGCTGCATCCTCCCCTCCCTGGAGCTCTATATACTACATCCTCCCCTCCCTGGAGCTCTGCACACTGCATCCTCCCCTCACTGGAGCTCTGCACCCTGCATTCTCCCCTCACTGAAGCTCTGCACACTGCATCCTCCCCTCCCTGGAACTCTGCACACTGCATCCTCCCCTCCATGGAGCTCTACACACTGCATCCTCCCCTCCCTGGAGCTCTGCACACTGCATCCTCCCCTCCCTGGAGCTCTGCCCACTGCATCCTCCCCTCCCTGGAGCTCTGCACACTGCATCCTCCCCTCCCTGGAACTCTGCACACTGCATCCTCCCCTCCCTGGAGCTCTGCACACTGCATCCTCCCCTCCCTGGAGCTCTGCACACTGCATCCTCCCCTCCCTGGAGCTCTGCACACTGCATCCTCCCCTCCCTGGAGCTCTACACACTGCATCCTCCCCTCTCTGGAACTCTGCACACTGCATCCTCCCCTCCCTGGAGCTCTGCACACTGCATCCTCCCCTCCCTGGAGCTCTGCACACTGCATCCTCCCCTCCCTGGAACTCTGCACACTGCATCCTCCCCTCACTGGAGCTCTGCATACTGCATTCTCCCCTCACTGCAGTTCTACATGCCCTACTGAACACTGGGGTTAGCCTTCCACAGTCTGCCCCTTATGTTCTCTATCCTTTCCTCTGTCCCTGCCCTTTATTCTACTCACTGTTAAGGTCAAGATCAGCTTCTTTACTCTGTAGACTAACAACCTCAAGCAAGCATCCTGACATGCATGTGGTTGAGAGATCAGACTCTGGAGACAGGAAAACAGGATGTCATCCTAGTCAGGCCACCAACCAGTCACATTTGTCATGGTACTTCAGCCTCTCAAAGGCTTCAGAGAGTTAAGTCAGTCAATAAAGGGTTAAAACTCTTCAAACAGCGGTGATGTGGCTATGAGGACTGAAATCAGAATGATGAGATACCCAGCTTAAGTGGAAGGTGATGTTAGGGGTTTCAGCCTCTGTGCTAGGGGCAGGCCCCTGCCTTCACCCCCAGTGGCTTTTGTCATCAGCAAAGGGATCATGTGGTACGAAAGTAGGAGGCAAGTAGTTCGATATGGTTATGGTGATAGAAGACACCATGTCCAGGAGTGACAAATGTCCATAGTATCTACAGAATCTGAAAATGGGGACTTATTACGCACTGCGAGGAACAGGTTTAATTTACAAAACCTCAAGGGGTGCCATAGGGTATGGGTGTGGGGTTATTTCTCCTACACATACTAAGCATTGCACTACAAGTTGTCACCGATGTCTGTTCCCCAGTTGTAAGCCCTGGTGACCTGGTCCATGACTTCACGCTCATGTGGTGTTCTAGTTCATCCTCTCTGAACTGAACTGGGGATTAGCCAGGTCCCTACTTCATAATCAGACACAAGTGCGGAGAGGAACTCTGGGGAGTAGTCTGGGGGAGTCGGTAGGTGACAGAGCTGGAACGGTGTCCCTGAATGCTTGCTTTTCCATATGCCTCCTGAGTCCCACCACCTGGAAGACACTGAGCACTGAATGTTGAAGAACTCTAGCTCTTAGACAATGCTCCAGATCCTGTCTGTAGTTATCCACTGGCTGATAAACTCCCTGTGGACCCAGGTCAAAAGTGATGGTGTTTTCTACTGCGCATCACTCACACAGGGCTTTGAATGTGGTGTCTCAGCAAATGGGTTTTCAGGGAATGGCTTTAGGACTCTGGAGTTCGGGATTCCAGACGCAGGTGGGATAGGGGGAGAACCACTAGACTATTGTATTTGGGTGGACAGTTTTGGAAAGCCCCTTTCCCCAACTGTTATTGCTTCTAACACAGCAGGACTGGGGGATGGCAAAAATGGAGAAGCTGTGCACTTATGAGGTATCAGCAGCATTTGTTGGTGGATGGGGATGAAAGTCAAGCCATTATTGTGGAAGTGGCCTGGCCAGCCATCCCTTATGGGCTGTCAGGCTTGCAGGTATCCTGAACAAGCATGCAATGTCTGTCTTGCAGTGACAGCAATGAACATGTCCCAACAGTGCAAGCAAGGTCAGGAGGAGTCCACATCAATAGATCATAATGCATAAGTACTTTATTGATGAGCGGTCTTACATTAGGCTAAAAGCCAGTTCCTGTGACCCCCACAGGTATTGTAAGAGAGACACGGGATTAGCCTCCTGTCCTAATCTATATTGGATATAGATGGCCAACACATGCACCGTGAAAACTCAGCAACAGACCTGCCCACTCCAGCTGCCTGGAGTGTCTTAGACCTTGGCTTCCTGATCCCTCTGATTGGCTGCAGAAGCTAGATGCATTTAAATGCAGGACTATGGGTTCTATTTTAGGCAGGATGTCAGTGCGTTTAGGAGCTTGTGGGAGTAGGTAGCCTGAGAGAATGCCTCAGAGTAAGGCACGGCACATAACAGCTATAGAACATACTGTGATAAGAAGAGAGGCATCTGGCCTCGAGATGATTGACATGAGTATGTGCTGACTTTGCGGTAATGAGATGCGCTTTCTGGGTGAAAGAGGAAACAGACAGGGAAATGCAGCCGGCTCAGCAGCCTCTCCTCTAGGAACAGCCCCTCTCACCAACACTGAGCTACAACTGAAATGCTTGTCACTCGGTCTCCACCACCTCCCTCTCTTCTTACCTGGCTATGAGCATCACTTATGGATTAGACTGTAGTTGTGTCAGAGGCAGAGGAAGCTGAAGTTGCCCAGTGGAAGATGCTGTTGAATAGAGTCTGGATGTGAGATTAGAGATGGTGCAGGGATGGGTGTAAAGTCAGGGAGGTTCTGGTGAAGTTATACACCCCTTTGTTGTTGTTGTCTCCCTTACAGAGGCATGGGTATCACGTCAGCACGCCAAGCACTGTCGGTGCATGGTGGGAACTCTGTAATAGCCTCCAAGGTGTCAAAATACCCAGTTTTAATTTGCTTAAGTTTGTTCAATGGTAGAGATGATCATACTCTAGGTTATCTAAAAATTCCCTGTTGAATTATCACCCTCAGTCTGACTTTGATTCCTCTTAGCATTTCCACACCTGTAGTCAGACACCTCCAAAGTATGTGGGGTTCACAGAGGCTTCCACAAGGGGATAACAGGAGCCGAGGTACAAACATCTGAGACTTTCCGTGCTCCTATCACTGTCCAGTTACCGATGGACATTGTGTCTCAAATTAAAGGCCTTGTGAAATTCAGGGGAAATGTCTTTATCTATATTTATTTCAACTAAATCAGGAAATTAAAACTGAATCTGGCAACGCTAGAGAGTTTCTGGTTTGGGGATGAAGGAAGAAAGCGTACTTTTAAAATTAGCTTCTAAGAGAATTTGAATACCCAGCTCACAAAAGCTAAGAATTTACTGCTGAGAAGAGCTGATGGAAGGTTACATTGCTACAGAAACAAGGCAAACAGGATCTGGCTTCTGCTCACCCCTTCCAACATTTGAAACTAGTTCATACTCCCTCAAATTATAAAGGACTCAGGTAGAGCAGCCACATAACCATGGACTCTTTTCTGTTTTGAGTACGGAGTTTTGGGTCATAGTGGATGCTAAATTGATGTGGTTGAGACAGGGCAGGATTAAAGTAGTATCAAATGCAAAGATTCTATCAATCAAAGGAAGAATCCAGCACTAAAGGAACAAGTAAGGGCTTTGTGAGAAAAAGGTCTATATCTAAGTGGTATGTGTTCAAGATCAATGGGGATGAATAACTTATTTTGGAGGAAGGAGTACTCTACAGAAGATGCAGGGACTAAGTGAAGTTTAGGATGAGGTCAAACCTAGTAGAAGCAAGTATAAAGGTAAGAGGCATGAGGATGGTGGGCCGATCAGCTTGGAGGCAAGAGGAAATTGAAATATGTCAACCTGGAAAGGTTAAATTCCATCCAGTCAAAGACTTATGGTAACTTGGAGGGGGGATGGGATCATTCCGAGACAGGGTCTCAGTTTATACAGGCTGGCGTTGTACTTGATATTTAGCTCAGGCTTACCTTGAGCCTGACCCTCCTGCCTTAACGTCCCGAGTACTGGTATTATACATCATCGTTCCTGATGATGAGTGGGTTTTGTTAGGGGCTGAGGATGAGGGCTGATATGGACCTGTTTCACGTATGAATACAGTAGTGTGGGCAGAATACTCTCAGGTGGTGAAAGACTACAGACCAGATCAGCTGTTAGGATGCTATTGAAGTCATCCAAGTATGAAGCAAAATGCCTCAATGAATCCTTAACACAGAGGATGCTTGATTCATTGGCTTTCACTTCAAATCACAAAAGTGCAGCCTACTTCATGTCTAGCTTGCAACATTAGAAATTTTTGAGTGAAGTTATTGCCCCATCAATCCCACAGCAAATAGCTCAGGTATCGTTTGCAATGATCGTCGGTGCCGTTGCCCTGACTCTCCACCTGTAATGATTCATCTCTGATGAATACTTTAACCAGGCTGAGGCCCATACTGGCATTATAATGATAATTTGTGACTTGAAAGAGTTCCTGTTTCTCTAACAT